CATATATGAAAGTGGAGAGTGGCCCAAGGACTTTACAGAAGTTACAATGATTGCCTTAAAGAAAAAGACAAAAGCTACAAAATGCAGCGACCATCGCACAATAAGCCTTATTGCACATACAGCAAAGATAATAGCAAAGATACTTAAAAGAAGAATTGAAAGGAAAATAGAGGATATACTTGGATAGGATCAGTTTGGATTTAGAAGAGGAAAAGGAACCAGGGATGCAATTGGGATGCTGAGAATTATAGCAGAACGAACTTTGGAGATAGATGAAGAACTGTGTGTTTGCTTCATAGACTGGCAGAAGGCATTTGACCGGGTAAACTGGACCAAATTAATGCAGATCCTAAAAGAAACAGGTATCGATTGGCGTGAAAGAAGATTGATTAGCAAATTGTACATGGATCAGAAAGTTAGAGTACGACTGGACAGAAGGGAGACAGGAAGTGTGCAGATTGGAAGAGAAGTTCGACCAGGATGCTGTTTATCACCAATTCTGTTCAACTTGTACAGCGAATGCCTTACCAAGGAAGCTCTGGATGGGCTTGGAGACTACAAATTAGGAGGGCAAATTATTCAAACTGTGAAATATGCCGATGACCTTGTGTTAATGGCTAAGGAAAAAACTTTGCTACAGGGTATGATTGATAGACTAATCGAAATTGGAAGGTGCTATGGCATGGAAATGAATGTGGAAAAAACAAAAGTAATGAAAATTTCGAGACAACCAACCCCAGTCACAATAAAGATAGACCAAAAACAACTGGCGAATGTGAAATGTTTTAAATATTTGGTAGCTTTTTGACAGATGATGGAAGGTGTACTTGTGAAATTAAATCTAGGATTGCCATGGCAAAAGCTGCATTTAGCAAGAAGAAGAATCTTTTTACCAGCAAATTGGACTTAAATTTGAGAAAGAAACTAGTGAAATGCTACATTTGGAACATAGCTCTGTAGGGGGCTGAAACATGGACACTTAGGGCAGTAGATCAGAAACACCTGGAAAGCTTCGAAACGTGGTGTTGGAGAAGGATGGAGAAGATCAGTTGGACCGATTATGTGAGAAATTAAGAAGTGTTATTTAGAGTCTGTGAGCAGAGGAATATCCTACACGAAATAAGAAAACGGAAGGCTAATTGGATTGGTCATATCTTACGCAGTAACTGCCTTCTAAAAGAAGTTATTAAAGGAAAGATAGAGGGGCGGATAGAAGTGACCAGAAGACGAGGAAGAAGACATAAGAAGATGCTGGATGACCTGGGGGACAGAAGAGGTTATTCTCATTTGAAGGAGAAAGCTCTAGATCGCATTAATTGGAGGAACTGTTTTTTAAGAGACTGTGGACCTGTCGTCTTGACAGTTTACTGATGAATAAATACGTAGGACTGTGTCTAACAGAAAGGAGGGGAACTCATTTAAGATTCTATGCTATGTGCATATCGTGTTTGTCCATTTGTCGGTGACCTATTATCAGGGCCTAATCCTTTGGATATATTTTTTTTTTTAATTCGGCAGGGCAATCTTTCACTAAAAGATATCTTGTAATACTAGTTTTCACCCATATTGATCTATAACAGAGCCTATGTTACATAAGGTCATGACTGAACTTCTTCATACACATAATCACATTTAAGTCTACTTTGACGTAAGAGATTTTTCTTTCGTGTTAGTGAAGCATTTTCACCTGTAGTTACACTTACCAATTAAGTAAGAACATAAATGAACTCTTCCAATATCTCATAAACCGGTTCACAGATCTTGTCGAAATTCGGTACTGTGCATTATTATATTGTTGAAACGTGTATTTTGCCCGTTTTATTTAATACATTTTGTGCCTTGCTGATATAAATTAGAAACTCGACGCAACTAAATTTAATAAGCTGCAATGAAAGTGTTGGAAATTTTGTAAACTATGGGGTACATTCCTTCCAGCCCTGTAAAACAATATATTTGCGTATGCATTACATGAGCATCAATGCCAGTAGAATTGACCAAATTGCTTAGGAAACATTTGGAAAAATATAGGCTCTGTGTAGAGCAGCCTATACTTTCGTTTCCTAAACAGGTTAAACAGAGTAAGAGCGAAAACTGTGTTCTTATGGGCATCTGTTCATTTTATTTTCCTGGAAGATTGGTGGATTTGTTTTCTTCGATTTGTATTGTTTTTGTACCCAAAAGAGTGAGCTCTCTAAGTGAATGTCTACGGTGGATGACCGGCGTCCGATCATTTTTCAACCACGTTGTTCTGTGACTCTACATGGACGGAGAACCCAGCTGCTTTTATGTTATCATTCCCGGAGATCCGAGACAGATTTCTGAGCCCCCTTTATATTACATTTCTGTGGAGTTCTCAAATACTAAAATCGAATAAAATTCCGCGATTACATTCTACATAAGATAATTCATGAAAGCTGTTTTTATGTATACGGTGATATTGCATATTACCTTCGTTTCCATTATCTTAGGAGTCTCCTGCAAGACATTCCGAGATACATAATAATTGCGTACTTCTATGCGGTGTTTGAATAGGGTGCATGAAGTGAAGGCATAATTGGGAGGTTTGTCTATCCTTCCGTCGGCATATTTCATATTCTAAAGTAGGCTATTCAATTCATTTCGATGAAATTTGGTATTGGAATTCTTTGCTTAACCTTATAGAATATATTGCGGCCTCCGTAGTCAAGGTACGCGGGTTCAAACCCGGCGGAGGTCGTGGAATTTTTAAGGGCGGAAAAATTCAGGGAACAAGTCCTCCGGGAGGGACTATAAGCCGTGGGTCCCGTGTCGTAGCTTTACGGCACGTAAAAGAACCTCATGTCTCAAGGAGACCTCTGAGCCAAATTTGTAAGGACATTTCCCGCCCAACAATAATCTCTAACGCCTCTGGTAGATGGGGGAAGCATCTAGATACCGCTGAGCCAGTAGAGGCCGAACTCGCTGGCTGAGTCGGGACTGATGGCACGCACCAGTACCGGTAGGGTATAGAGACTGGTAGAATATCACAGGGGGATGTACAATAGTTCAAACTGGTCGCGGTACAAGGGGAAACCCACCCCCTCCAACCGCACCGGTCTCATAGGTCTATACTTCCTATTTTGCATGCAGCTCACATCTAAAAAAATTGGTATTCTTGTAACGTAACACATTTCTCAATAGTATATGCCACATTTATCTGAGTTTTTTCTGTATAAAACATGAATTAATTAAATAAAAAATCATCTGACTTAGTAGTGTCGTATTCGTAGTTTTGCAAAATAATCAAGGGCAATGAGGTATACAAAACAGCAAAGAATGGAGTTTTCCCCCTCCCCCACAACAGCAGCAGTTTCGTCTGTAAGGAATGACTATGGGCTGACGACAGGATTTTATTTTAACAAGAGACAGGCTTTCTTCTTCGCGACTAAGTTGAGACTAACTCTGTGTTCACAGCCTCCTATCCAACAGGAGTCTTTTCCCACAAGTAGTAAAGTGGCCTGCGAGTGAAGGCGAGTTCGAATTCGTTAGAGCTACGTGGGGTTTCGCTTTAAAGACACGCTTTCATACGAGTAGCATGATACTTAAGTACAGGGATAACTTTAATTACCGAAGGCAGTAAGTGAAGAAGGGAAGATGTTGCTTAACAAGAATATAGCAACATTTACACATCATGCAGTAGGTATGTTTTCATTGCCCTGAGGCAGACACGTAGATCGGGAGAGAAATCATGAAATTCATACAAAATTGTGGTGGGGAAGCATCTTGGAAAGCAGACGTTAGGACTATTCTTGACAAGAGATAATAACATTGAACTGCATCGGAAGGCAGTAAACTCTGAGGAAGTGACTAGAAGTGAATCAAGATCATGCCATACGCATTTTGGTATTAGTGACTTTCAAACGTTGGATTATAATACCATGGGATAATTTAGCCCTCTCCCAACCCCAAAGAAAATTGTGTGCTTTAAACGGTATGCTGAAATCGAAACCCTGGCAACTGTACCCAAATGCCAAAGTATAATGGAATCGCAGAGCAGCTTGTGTCAGGTAATTAGTTCACGGTTCCAAATCGTTACACGTCTAATAGACCTAAGGCTGGTATCTCAAATGAAGCGGTACATTAACAGAACGGTCTGCGTGACACACTTTTGTCCGCAGTTCGGAGCCCGACTTTCTCCTGCCGCATTAATACTGTATAATGTGTTGACATTGCTGTGAGAATCTCCCACATGCACTTTCTCTGAAAACAAATGTTCATATAATGCACAGACTGTTTAAAATATATGTTAGGAAATTTTATTACGTTCACTTCCTATGTAGCTACGTCCTTATTATTTCGACACACACAAAAGGTAACCGCAGAATTCACAGCATGCAGATGTCGTCAAGGTCGTCTAGCACTTTCACATACAATTTAGCGCCTCAGACGACTGCTCTGAAGAAAGCTTTTATGAACTATTTAGGCTGATTATCTGTGCTAGATGAAACCGTTCCTTGTTAAGTTGTAATGGTTGTCTAACGGAAATATTACCAAACTCTTTCATAAATACTGTTGAAGAGGAACAGTCCTAACTGTTGTCACAGCATGATAGGACTATACATGTAATAAAGAATTATCACAGCACATATGCACGCAAAATAAACTCTTGTTTCGTACATAGCAGATGGCCACAATAAATATTGTTTTGACTGTTCTTCACAATGGGGTTTGGCGGTGCTGCAAAATTACTTGACAAAAAAATTCATGGACCACTGTCTTGAAGTCTGAGAAAGAAATACTGGTGGGACAAATTTGAAATTCGAAATACAAGCTCGTTCTTTTCAGTTTATTAACTAATTGGCAAGAAAATCTTCGCTGACAGTGGTCCGGGTGTAATTTAGTTGGGTTGATTCCAATAGACTTGTAAGTTATACGCATATTTCGTTTATTGTTCAATAGTGAAATAATTATATTAGCTGTAGAGAAACAGTAAAACAGATTGCGCATTCGAGAATGTATATTACAAATTTCTCATAACTTACCAGTGCGTATATCCCCGCAACAGCAGACGCAACAAGTAGGCTGCAGCAAATGCAGGTCTCGAGAATCGCCATAACGCTACATGTTCACACCTCAATGCCGTCTCGAACACTGAATCACGTCTCTAGCGGTCTCTAGGGTCTAGCACTACTGTGTAGTTGGTTCGTGTTCTCGCAACTCGTGAGATGATTCGTTCATTTGTTTGCATTCTGCTATAGTAGCAGGAGCGGTTGTAGTTGTAGTGGTGGGGCAGGTGATCTGTCTAGTTGCTTCGAAAGCTACGATTACGGATACTATAGGAAATTATAATTTAGTGACGCTTCGTAATTAATGAAGCACAAACAGAAATATTAGAGAGTATCAGTTTCCTCGATAAAATATTGTAACTTCTGTAAGGTATAATCAAGACAAGCAGCACAAAACACAACAGGAGAGAACACAACCCAACAACTCAAACACATATGGGCATCGAGAGGACTTATTTTAACAACAAAAGGAACAACAATGACAGCAGTTTCCTAGCCCAATAATTTTAACACCTGTTCATGACCGCATTGGTCAAAACATGTAATGGTGAACTTTTAAATTTTACAGTGAATAACTTTTAATAAATTTTATAGAACACAGTGTTGCACATGAGATTGTAAAAAATTAATCAACACTATGTCAGATATAGATTTGGAATATACAAAATTATAATTTTGCCTGTGGTTCTGTATGGGTGTGAAACTTGCTCTCTAACATTAAAGGAGGAACGTAGACTGAGGGTGTATGAGAACAGGGTGCTGAGGAGAATATTTGGACCAAAAAGAAGCAAAGTGACGGAAGGTTGAAGAAAACTGCATAATGAAGAGCTACATAACTTGTACTCTTCGGCAAGTAAAATTAGAATGATAAAGTCAAGGAAGGTGAGATGGGCAGAGCATGTAGCACGAATTTGGAGAAGAGGAATGCAAATAGGATATTGGTGGGAAAGCCATAAGGAAAGAGACCCCTGGGAATACCAAGACGTAGGTGGGTAAACAATATTAAAACGGATCTTAGAGATGTAGGATGGGATGGTATGGATTGGATTAATCTGGCTAAGGATAGGGCCCAGTGGGTTGCTCTTGTGAACACGATAATGGACCTTCGGGTTCCACGAAATGCTGGAAAGTTCTTGAGTAGCTGCACAACTGGCAGCTTCTCAAGAAGGGCTCAGCTCCACGAGTGAATGCCTAATACTATTTCTACAACATGTCATTTGAACGAAAGTTAAATACTCGCAACACAACAAATATGTGTACAAATGAAACACAATTAGCAACTTGCGAACACGGGTCTTGTTTTTCAGTGTCTGAAAATATAAAAAAAATAGGATTAAAATATAAAATTTTAATAATTGATCTTATTGTATGAGTTTATCAGTAGAAACAATACCTAATCCGTAGACTCAAGAATAATATCTGTAACCTGAAGAATCGTAGTCGAACTCGGAGAGGTGAGAACTCTAGAAGACATGACTCTAAAACCCTACAATATAAGTATTAATAACTAAAGACTTCAGATTAGCTAGATCTTATAGTAAGGAAAACGTACAATATCTAAACTATTTACGAGTACTAGGAAAAGAGACCTGGGAGCCGGTTCTTAAACAAAATGAGGCAAATGATGCATACAATGAATTTTTATGCATCCTTCAGTACTATCACAATGTAGTTATGCCTAAAAAATGGGTAAAAATTAAGCAGCAAAAAATAAATGGATTACCTTAGGCATAAGGGTATCAGGAAACAGACTTAGGACCCTTCATAGCTTAATTAAAGAAGGAAACACATCTGAAGAACTTAAAAAATACTATAACCAGTACAAAAAAAATATACAACAAAATTATCGGTGAGGCTAAAAAATTAAGCAACATCGAATACGATCATCCGGGAACAAATCAAAAGTCATGTGGGATTTAATCAAAGAAGAATTAGGCAGTCAGCAAAAAGTTCCAAAGAACATTGAATTAGGAGTGATTGGAACAACTATACAGGATCCAAAAGTTATAGCCAATGTTTTTAATGAATACTATACTAACACTGCCCAGCACATCCAGAGTAACAATCCGACAGCACAAAACAATGAAGACAGGACCAACACAATAAAAGACAACAGCAATAGCATGTTCTTAACCCCAACCACTGAAAGGGAGGTGGTAGACATAATTAAAACACTGGGTAACAAAAAATCAAGGGGCATTGACGATATTCCAGAGTTCATTATTAAAAAATGTCATCCTCAACTAGTAAATGCTCTAACATACATAATAAATCTGTCATTTTCATCTGGTTATTTCCCCGACCAACTACAAATAGCAAAAGTGAAACCCTTGTATAAGAAAGGTTGTACTGCAGATGTTGGGAACTACAGGCCAGTGTCATTAATTTCGGGGTTTTCTAAAATAATCGAAAAAATTATGCACAATAGACTTTTATCATTCATAAATAAGTACTAATTGGATTGGTAATGTTTTACGCAGAAAAAGCCTTCTAAAAGAAGTTATTGAAGGAAAGATAGAGGGGCGGATGAAAGTAACAAGAAGACGAGGAAGAAGAAGTAAGAAGATGCTGGATGACCTTGGGGACAGAAGAGGATATTGTCATTTGAAGGAGAAAGCTCTAGATCGCATTAAGTGGAGGAATTGTTTTGGAAGAGACTGTGGACCTGTCGTCTGACAGATTATTGATGATGATAAAATAACTACAGCATAATCAACAATAAACAACCTGGATTCTGCAAAGGTAAATCAACACATACAGCAATCACAGAATTTACAAAGACGGTCCACAAAGCACTAGATGAAAAAGAAACGAGTAAAGGGATATTTGGGATTTATCAAAAGCGTTCAACCTAGTAGATCATGATATATTGCTAAGTAAGATGGAAAGAATGGGAATATGAGGGGTTTCACTAAGGTGGTTCCAAACATACTTAGAAAACATAGAACAAGCGGTAGAAATTACATGCAGATGCAAAAGAACTAATCGAAACATTAATTACCTATCCCGAAAGAGACCCATCAGCTATGGCGTCCCACGAGGTTCCGTTCTGGGACCAGTGTTGTTTCTGTTATACATAAACGACCTGGAGGTCAGCATAGAACGTGGGAAACCTACGTTCTTTGCCTATGATACTAGCATTTTATAGCAGGAAATAGCGCTAACGAAATTCAAAGTAAAACGAATGAAACAATAAACAAAATCACAGAGTGGTTTGAGAGGAATCGATTAACTATTAATAAAGAGAAAACAATAGCAATAGCCTTTCATCATCCTCAAAAACTACAACTTGAATGCCCTCCAATAAGGATTTATGACACAGTTATCAACTACACAGATCACTCAAAATTTCTGGGAGTCTGGCTAGATAAGCATCTAAGATGGACTATGCATACACAAAAGCTAGCGAACAGCTTATGTAAAGTATGTTTTGGCCTAAGGGCAGTTAGAAGAGTGACTGAACTAGAGACGGTCCGCACGTTATATTACGCTCATTTCCAATTTTTATTATCATACGGACTGATATTTTGGGGCAATTCGGTAAATGCAAAATTGATCTTTAAATTACAGAAGAGAGATATAAGAGCTATGACCCAGATCCCAAAAACAACTAGTTGTAAACAAATTTTCAAATCATTACATATATTACCTATACCATCTTTGTACATATACGGAACTCTAATATACATAAAATCCAATTTGAATGATTTCACAACCAACTCAGGATTACACTCATACAACACAAGGAAAAAAGACGACTTGCACGTCATCCCATGTAATACAAGTCTATGCAAGAACAACTTTAACAATGTAGGACTTCGACTGCTAAATCATCTGCCACGATATATTAAAGAAATACCGGTACTATATAAGTTCAAAAGCGCTTTGAAAACTTACCTACTCGATCATTGTTTTTATAAAGTGGATGAGTTTCTCTCGTGTGAGACAAACACTAATCAATTATAATCACATAATTCATGAATAATCAGTTTTGGGAATCCCTACTGCGCAGTTTTCCTTTCTTTCTTCCAGCAACCAAGATAACACAGTCGGAGATGTACCTGAATGGGCTACTCTGGAGAGATTGCAGATACCAAGAAGCTGCACCAGGAAGGGAGAACAGATGTAATGAGATGTTGCAGTGTAGAGTCTACAGTGAAACATTATACCAGTGCTATCATCAAATTCACCAATATTATCTCAAAGGCCGCGCCATAGCTTAAGCGGTAAGTCGCCGGCTTTCCACAGCTGCGGTCTAGTCAAGTGGGATTTGTGATGGACAAAGTGGCTCTGGCTCTGGGGCAGGTTTGCCCCGAGTACTTCGGTTTCCCTTACCAATCCTCATTCCAGCAAATTCTCCATAAGCATTAACACCAGTACAGGCACAATAGGACATATGGAAGCCGACTTGCCGAGAGGACCTAGTATGGAAACCACTTCACACTATATGAAATCTATTGTAAACAATTGTAAGTATTGTAACTTTATTCTCTTATTGTAATCAGCCAATGTACAGTAACTGACTTTTCCTATATCATGTAACAATGATCTATAGAGACGAAATAAACAAATAAATAAATAAATATTATGAAATTTTTATTTGAAAAAAATATAAAAGAGCTTTCTGTAATGTAAATTACCGATAACGGACGTGTTTATTTTCTGGTGTATTTAGTGCTGGGATTGGTTGGAATTGAAGGGGTGTGCTGTTGCAGTAGTCATGTAGGTTGACCCAGATTCCATTAAACTAAATCCGGATTTCCACAAACATCGCTACGATGTAATGCTCTATATAAGTTATCATATCGCTAACAAAGTTTGTCTTCTTACTTAGTAACCCGATTATTGTATTTAAAGGGTGAGTCACTCGGAGGTATCTCCGAATTAATAATTATAAATCATGCATTAATTTGCAGAAGAGGACGAAATTTTGCCTGTGAATGCCTTGGTAGATAATCGAGTTACAGAAAATGCTGAAATTGGTTTCCGTCCGCCTAGTGACAGACCGACACGGCGCTCCTTGCAGCAGTTTCGTTGTCAGTGTTTTATTTAAAGTCAACAGTGCGAGGTTTATTTTTAAGCATCCTGCTCCTCAGTAAACCTCCATAGGAAGAAGTCTGGCAAAGTCATATTTGGAGATTGGGCAGTCAAAGTCCTTTCGAGATAATCTCATCCACAATACAATACAAAACAAAACAAACTCCGTGGTTTTAGTCCGCAAGCGAATTATACCGACCGAGTATTTCCATTCTGTTCTACTAGTGTGAAGATTATATTGCTTTTAAAGATTGTGTGTGCTTATACATAATATCGTTGACTGCAGTTGTCCTCAGTTTCTGTTTGTATTAAGTAAAACGAAGGTAACGCTATCCCTGTACCAGGCCGTGAAGGCCCATAGAGTTCTGAGACGTTGAGGGTCCCACATTTTCTAGGCAGTCGGCTCAAAGATGGCGGCAAGGTTGTCAGCCAGCCGCTCTTTACTCCTCAGGAAAATTATTTAATTAATTCCTGGTACTCATTCCTTTTGGAAGCGGAGTCGACCCCAGGACCATAGTGCGGCTGGAAGGATTAGGTCAATTTTTGATCTTGAAAAAGCGTTTGATTGTTTAAACCATGATATATTGATCTCTAAATTACAATTTTATGGTGTTAATGTCAAAGCTAAGTTATGGTTTGAATCATATCTTAATAAAAGATATCAGAGAACTCAGGTTTCTAATGAGGAATCAAATCTAATTAATCTTTCTACGTGGGAAAAGATAACTGATGGTGTTCCCTAGGGATCAGTTCTGGGTCCTTTGTTGTTCCTTATTTATATTAATGATTTGCCCAAAATTGTAGACGGCAATGCTATACCTATTTTGTTTGCTGATGATACAAGCATATTAGTCAAAGGTTCTGACTTGGGGGACTTTCGAAATAAGATGTCTAACACCTTCACTTGCGTAAATAAATGATTAAAAGCAAATTTACTTTCAATAGATGTTAACAAAACTCATTGTATTCATTTTAAAACTAAAAATAAATCCTCAGTTGATGTAAATACGTAGGTAGGCTGAAAAGTAATGCACACATGCTTGTAGAGCACGAACGAAATGACCTTCAGAAGCGCGCCAGGTGGCATGTGGAAGTAACATTCCCCCTCAATACGCATGCGCAGGTTTGAGGTCGTTGCGTTCATCCTGTGTATTTCGAAAAGCGGAAGTATGGAGACGTGTTCTAGTGCCATGTCAACGCGAGTTAAACAGCGTGCTGTTATCGAATTTTTAACTGCTGAAAAAGTGACTCCTACTGAGATTCATCGTCGTTTGAAGGCTGTTAATGGTGACGATGCTGTTGATAGGTCTACTGTAAATCGATGGGTAATAAAATTTCGTGGTTGCGAGCCTGGAAAAGCCATAATTGTTGATGAAACACGCAGAGGATGTCCGATCACTGCCACAGACGATAATCATCGCAAACTCGTCGACGATTTGATTCAAAATGACCGGCGAATCAATCAAAAGCGTATCGCAAACCATATTGGAATATCCAAGGAACGTGTCGGCTTCATTATTGAACAATTAGGATACCATAAAATCTGTGCACGGTGGGTACCACGCCGTCTCACAGACGAGAACAAACAGCGTCGATTGGAATGCTGCGAGCAACTTTTGCAGCACTACCGTGACGAAGGAGACGACTTTCTTTTGAATACTGTGACGTGGGACGAGTCATGAGTCCATCGTTACGACCCGGAAGAAAAAAGACAGAGCGCTGAATATCGACATCCGTCTTCTCCTCAGGCGAAAAAGCTCAAAACACAACCATCCGCCAAAGAACTTCTTTTTACTGTGTTTTGGGATGCTTACCGAGTTTATGTGACCGATTTTCTGGAACGAGGGGCAACGGTAAATTCTTCTCAGTACATACAGACTCTCAAACACCTCCGGCATCGAGTTTGTCGTGTTAGAGGCAGCCTGATGCCAATAATCTTGCAACATGACAACGCTCGTCCACACATCTCGCGCGCAACTGAAGAGGCTCTGCGAAACCTGAAGTTTGAACCGATTCCACACCCTCCTTATTATACCCCCGATCTTGCGCCTTGCGATTTTTATTTTTTTTTTTTCCTCTACTCAAGAGAGACCTCAAGGGTAATCATTACACCTCGGACGATGAGGTGAAGGCAGCCGTCAAGTCCTGGATTCGAGAAAAGTCGGAAGAATTTTTCAGTGATGGAATGAAAAAAACTTGTTACACGTTGGGAGAAATGTGTTAGCCTTAACGGTGACTATGTTGAAAAATAAATATATGTTTTTTAAACTTCAGAATGGTACTTTAATGTACTTTTTGCCCGATCTTGCTATTTGTTCTTGTTTGCTCTCTACAAGCATGTGTGCATTACTTTTCAGCCTACCCACGTATCATTCATAACAATAAACCAATAACAACTGTGTCTAATATTAAGACCCTTGGCTAAAATATAAATGATTCATTGAAATGGAGAGGTCATATTGAATGTATTATTTGAATACCATATCCTACCTGTTTTACTGTGGAACTATGAAACGTAAAATAAATGAAATGAAATGAAGAAAATCCAATGTTCATACTTTACAGGCACTGGTGAGAAACTCTCCCCCGATAAATAATGTTGCAAACTGACTCTTGTACTACAGAAGTTCTTACTGTTGTGTTTTCTGTTGTCGAACTGAGTTTGATATCACTTCACTCATGCCGCTCTAAATGATTTTGAGTGAAGCGATATTAAACTCAGGTCGAAAAAAAAACACACACACAATGCAGTAAGAACCTCTGCAATACAAGAGGCCAGGGTTGCAAATTATTTGTAGCTATTCATGTGAACTGCTGATTGTTTGGGAGATACAGTACACAAAGGCTGGTGGTATAATAGCATACCCTCTTACCGATCGAGCTCTCGGCACTGACGGCAGCCATTTTGTATCAATAGACTTGCCTCCGAGCTCCGAACATTGAGGCAGCAGTGTTCGGTCAGTTTGGGAGAGACAGTGTTGAATGTTGTATTGATTTATAGTTCTTTGCCGATATTTATTCTAATGTTTACATCATTGAATATATTTAGGAAAGAGAGGTCTGTATCTAAGAGCTTCATATATTATTTATTTATAATAAGTGTAACCAAATGTTTATTTCACGTTTAATATAAACGAAGTTAGAATTATCCTCATTATCGGTTGATAATACTCGACAGTGCGGTATAGTATGATCCGCTTGTAATTTCAGACCCGTATATTGTTATGTGTTTTCGTAGTATGCGGGTGGTAGTGTTTGGAAGTATCAAAATCTTTTTTTAAATTTTTTTCAGTATTTTTGTTGGAAATCAAGTAGAGCGTTATTTAAAATGGCGTTGCTTTCGTTACTGTCGGCTGCTTATGCCATTACACATTCCAGTTGAAAGAAAATTATGACAGAAAAGGTAACCGGAATTGTATTGTAGTTAATGCGACCGAAATGTTTTTGTTAGACGTACATTCAGCTGTTGGATATCTTTCACGAAACCAGTTATGGCATTTGAACAAACGTAATGCTCTTCAGGAGTTAACACTTCTTTGAATATGACATTAGAGTAAAAGAATAGCTTATCTTTAATACGTGTCACGTATTAAAGATAAGCAGCGACACACACACACACACAGAGCCTACACAGAACAATACCTGAACAGCGATAAAACGAGATGTGGCCGCTGCAGCACTATAGACAGAGGGCGTGTACCCCGAGAAAATTTGAATTTTTAAAAATTTGGAAAAAGAAAAAGAACAGAAAATTTATAGACATTTTAATTTGAATTGAAGTTTTAAAAAAGTGCCAATTTTAGAAATCAAATTGACGCGTGTAGATTAACAAAGATTTTATACATACATACAGTTGGAAAGACTGGTGATCTTAAATTTTAAACTACGGGCAGTGTAGCAGCTACGTAAGAATACACACCTGATGATGGCCATTTTGGGCCGAAACATGTAGTGTGGAGGAAGGGAAGAAGAAAGAACTACAATTAAATTGTTGCACTTAAGACGGAGTTTGTCTTATATATATTGTGTGAGTGTAACAGGATGCTTAAATATAATATTGCTACCATGTATATATAACATATAATACAAACATACATAAGATGAGTCATGCCTAAAAAAGTGAAAACCATTACAAGGACTCTTGGGGAATGTCAGCAACTGTAACCTTACATTCAGGTTTATTACTAATATAAAATCTGAAAAGTAAGATGAGCATGATAGTGGTATGGCTGATATGACGTAAGGCATGTATAGGGCCGATTTTGTGGTTCTGTAGTTTGAAGTTAACAGTTTTTATTTTTTGAGAAGGGACAGTTATTTTCCTCTCTTATAGAATTGTTGTAAAGGTACTTCATAATATTATATACTTCCAGTGTTTCAACACTTGTATTTTTTAACTGAAGATTTTTGAATGGTAGAAACATCTTTGACAATTTCATGTATTTTATATGGCTTTCTTGAAGTTATCAGAGTTCATGTTAATATTGCTGGTGTTTGTGTTTCTGGTGGTATACAAACTGAAGTGTTACAATACAAGTTGTGCTTGTAATCTGTTATAGTTCCAAATTTCCATATATATGCTTATCCAGTAGGTACTACTACTATGCAACAAGTCAGGGTATAGTGAATTATGTTCGGAAAATCTGTAGAAGTACACTGTGGTTACAGAAATATCCCAAGAACAAAATACACTACAATAGACCTAATCACATACATTATTTATAATTCTTTAGCAGTTATGCAGTATATTTAAAAATTGCTTAAATTACCTGATTTACCTTATTTATTAGGATGAGGTAGAAGGTATTCACAATTGGTTTTTTATTAAGTAGTACAGTTAAAATAAGTATGTATAGTAGTATATTGTTTGTGTAATCCCCGTCCTTCCCAACACACTTAGTCTAGTGGCCCACAAAAATTCTTGGTTGAGCTACAAGCCACACACGCATTTCTTCTTTCACGTCTTGGTCACTGGCCAAGTGGTGGCCTTTCAAAGCATCTTTGGAGTGATTTAAAAGGAGCCAGATTATGGTTGTACAGAGGATGCAGACAAGAATTTTGTTGCAGCATTGCTAAACTTTTTGACAGTAGTCCATGACATTTGGTTCGAATAGCTTGTTTCAACTGGTCCTAAAGATTTGCACTATAATAGACACTGTTTCTGTTGTGTCCTTCTCTTGGTAGTCTTTTTTGTGCATGGTTAAGTTTCAAACTTCTTTGAATATCAATGTCTGATGTTTCCATTATTTACTCTTGTGTCTGCATTCTGGAGCATTTTGTTGGATCCATATTTTGTCCCTAATCAGCATCACCTTCATTACGATAGCAGTTCAATACGCCTTGCAAAACTGTCAAATAGTTGCTATTGTGCTGTCCTGTGAATTGTTTTTTGGAACCCAGGTTGCACAAACTTTATGAGATCCAAGAGTGTCTTAAATGATTCCATGAACACAACCATGACTGATGCATAGAGGATGCACCACTTCATCAGTAGTCATCCATCGATTATCCAGAATTATGGCATGGACTTGAGCAGTGCTTTTCTCTCTATTGGATGTGGGCGGGCATAGTGATAATTCTTTATCATTGACACTTGTGCAATTTTTTTTAATATAGTTATCCATTTGTACACACTTCAGTGCAATAAAGCACTGTTTCCATATTATCATGCATCTTACACATATCATTTTAATATGGGAAATAACATGACTGAGTGAATGCTTTTTGCACAAGTCAAGTACAGTAAGGCTCAGGATCATGGTTGGGTGGCACATAATGCATAAGCCTGCTTGTCGTTAACTGCTCAATGATTTATTGGGTTAAAATTGGAGAGAAATGATAATGTATGCAGACTGTAGGTTTGTCAGTTCTGATGGCAGTTTGAATTTCCACGGCCCAGCTTTACAGGAGAAGCATCAGACCTTTGCATCTGAATAACATGCTTTTATTCCATCTCCAACTTATGTTATTTCAACCATTCCCTCTCTTCAAATTGGATGCTATGAAGAAGTGTGTGTGTGCGCACACATTCCCACATGTACATGTACATGCAAGATGCATGACTTCGTGATACTGTGTACTTCATCACAATGTTAAGTTAAAAGTTTGACTGTCCTTTCTTGAGTCATAAACATTTGAAGTAAAATATCACCCAGCTCTTGCTTGGATATTTTTTCTCAGTGTTACAAGTATGGGACCAGTGACAAGGTTGTATAAATGGGGTCCCAAGATTTTGCCTTTATATATTTTCAATATTATAGGACAAAAGTTTTGGATTTTCTGGGTAAAAGTCTATTTTGTCTTCAGTTATCATTCCTTCCTTCAGAATTGAACAGTGCTGTTTACACTGAGCACCAAGCACATGGTAGCATAGATGGTTGAGGCATTGTGCTACAAGCCAGAAGTTCGCTGCTTAAATGAGGTAATTGGATTTTTCAGTTGCCATTATCATTACAACCACACTCTGGCCCTGGGGTCAACTCAGCTTCTAACAGAAGTGAGTACCAGGAATCTTCCTGGGGATGAAGGGCGGCCGGCTCTTAAGGCTGACAGCCTCGCCACCATCTGTGAGCTGAATGTCTGGAAAATTTGGGGACTTGACTTCTCACAACCCTGTGGACCTCCATGGCCTGTTACAGGAATAGCTTTACCTTTTGACCTCTATAAAAATATTGTGACTTGGGATTCTCTTCTTTAGAATTGGTCTTGAAGATCTCTCATTGCTTCTTCACTGCTTGTAATTCTCATATGTCACTGGAACATCCGTTGCCTCATGGACCATTCCTGTCGATCACAGAACTATAGTGGACTTGACATTCTGTGCCACAAGAAATGCTGTAGTGGTCTGTGGCAGGAATTTCTGAACGAATGGTCAGGTGTCTGTTCATTTTACACCATTAGAACTCTTTCACACACAAAAATGTAATGTTCTTTCCTTGGAGTCTCTCATTTTATTCTACAGAGAGTTGGAAACAAAAATTAAAAAGAGTGAAATGTAGACTGTGTTATGTAATGAATGACTATCCATCCATTGAAGAACATATTGCCCTTTATGTTATCAAGAAAAATGCAAATATTACACCTTTGTTTCAGATTTAACTGAGAGGAAAGATGCTGGCATCATCACAGCAGTTTTGTGTCAAGTGGAACAGTTACAGCTCAAACCTACAGAATGTGTTTCCACGACTTTTAACCAGTGAACATTTTGTGGATATAACATTGGCATGTGAGGGTCAGATGATTAAATGTCATAAAGTGGTATTATCAGCATGCAGCACATATTTTGAGAATCTCCTAGTTCATAACCCATGTCAACATCCGATAATCTTTATGAAAGACATGAAACATTGGGAAGTTCAGGCTCTTGTGGATTTCATGTACAAGGGGGAAGTGAATGTGAGTCAGGAAGAGTTGAACTCTCTGCTTGTGGCTGCAGAAGCATTGCAAATCCGTGGTTTATGTGGTTCGGATCAGTCAAGTACAGGAAAACAACAAAACTTGCCGAGGCAGCAGGTGGATGAGATCAGGCTTCCAGCTGTTTCTTTACCCCATGATACTGTTTTGTCAGGCAGAGAAACTCCCCCCTTTAAACGTAGAAGAAACGTGGCAGAGGATCAAGAGCAGACATCTAATAAAGTTGTGAAGAACAACAGAACTTCCCCTGGTCCCACCTCTTCCTCCACAATGGAAGTTAACTCTTTGCCAGTTACTACTGCACCATCCAGCTGTAACACTTCTTCTGAGACTGACACATATTCTGACCATGTAGAGAATAAGGTAAGTACTTAGTTATCTGACTTAAGATGGAAAGTTATTACTAAGAGCTCACCAATTTTTCCACGTTGTAGCTCTGATTTTGCCCCCAGGCCTTCTCATTTGTTTTTCTCTGTCTGGTTTTCCCTCTTAAGTGTCCTTCCTTCACTTACCTGTTTTACTTATTTAGCGTACATTTAATTTTCCTTTCTGTGTATATGTCAGTTTAATTTTTTTGTGGTTTAAGAATTTAAATATTTTGACATGTTTACAGCAAAAAGTTTTGAAAGTGCACCCAGTAGTTTCTCCATGTCTGTCTTTTCATCTCTGTATGCTAATGTTAACATGTAACTACTCATGAACTTAAGATTGGATTTTTATGAATTTTTATGTTGGGGATTTTTTTTAAATATTTCCCAGCAAATTCCAATTTTAAGACTAGATGACGGTAATGGACACTTCATATGAAGAACATTTATTTCTGCATACATCATGAGCATAACTTGCTAAATATTATTGCATCTGGTGGAAAGGGAGGTGCATGACAGATGCATTATTCTTAGTGTACATTTATGTCACTGAACATAAATGCACCATTGGTTGACAAGTTAAGGATTGTTCTGGTCATATGTGATGAAATAAAAGGACTTTCTTTTTTTTATTTATTTTTGACACATTTTATTAATGCAGTAAATACTTCAGAATCACTACTCTGTGTGTTAACATAGAACAGAATATTTCAAATTATTTACGTGTTTGTATTGTGGGAACTGCCCACATTCAAGCAAGTGTAACAACGCAAGCGTCATAGCTTAGCAACGACGAGTAAACAACGGTTGCTAGGCAAAAGCAAGTAAACAGCAGTTGCTAGGGAACTTATAAACACGGTGGTGAGCCTGCCCCGCACGAGGATTTCCATTGTCTTCTCCTTCCATGATAGGACCTGGTAGGGGCCGCTGTAGAGGGACACTACTCACAGAGCTACTCCGTTTACTACACTACTCCGTTTAAGGCAGGTTTTACTGTAATTAAAATATTACCAGAGCCAACTGTATACAGAAACATATGGATGAAATTTGTTTCTTGTGCTGGTTATAACAGTTAAACATCCCTATAGTGCTCTTTTCAAATGTCCACATTAGGAGAGACTGATCAATTCTGCTTAACTTAAAATATTCATACTGTGGGAACTGCCCACATTCAAGCAAGTGTAACAACGCAAGCGTCATTGCTTAGCAACGACGAGTAAACAACGGTTGCTAGGCAAAAGCGAGTAAACAGC